AGGGCGAGCGGCGGCCGCGGAAGGAGGGGAAAGAAAGACGGGCCCCTCAGACCATGTGCTCCGACTTTCTATTAACATGTATGTATAGATTTGAGAGAGCGTGATCCACCGCCGCTTTACTGTGGAAAATTGCCAACTTTTCCCTCCGGAACCCGGGGGACGCCCCCCCCCCCCCCTCCGAAAAATCCCCCCTCCCCTGCTGGAACCCTCCCCCCCCCCCCCCCTCCCCGGCAAAACCCCCCCTCCCCTAACCCCTCCCCCCCCCCCCCCCCCCCCCCCCCCCCCCGCTCGAAAAACCGGGGGGGTCACTACCGGTTCGAACCCCTCCCCCCCCCCCCCCCTCCGGATCCGGAGGGGTCACTACGGTTCGACCCCCCCCCCCCCCCCCCCTACTCACCGCCAGCAAACGACTCCCGGTCCCCACCACCGTCCGCATCACATCCCCCACTGGTGTTCCCAGCACCACTGTCCTCACCACCGCTGTCCCCACTGGTTCCACCACCGCCCCTACTGTCCCCACCAGTGGCCCCACCACTGTCGCACTGTCCCCGCTGTCCCCAGAACTGTTCCCACCACGGTTCCACTCTCCCCACTGTCTCCACGGCCCCAACCACTGCCCGACTATCCCCACTGTCCCCACTGTCCCACTGACTCCTCCGCTGTCCCACTGAGCTGTCCCACTGTTCCCACCACTGTCCCCACTGTCCCCACCACTGTCCCCACTGTACCTCTGTCCCATTGTCCCACCGCCGTCCTCGCCACCGCCTTCACCACTGTCCCCACCACCATTGTACCCTCCACTGTCCCACTGTTTCCACCTCATTCCCATTGTCCCCACACCACTGTCCCCACCACCACCGTCACCACCACTGTCCACTGTCCCCCCCTGTTCCCACCATTGTCCCCACCACTGTCCCCACCACTACCGTCCCCACCACTGTCCCACTGTCCCACCCACCACTGTCCCGCTATCCCCTCACCACTGTCCCCACCAACACCGTCCCCACCACTGTCCGCACCCCCACTCGGTTTTCGAGGGGGGGGGGGGTTCGAACCGGTAGTGACCCCCCCCGGTTTTCCGGATCCGGAGGGGGGGGGGGGGGGGGAGGGGTTCGAACCGGTAGTGACCCCCCCCCCTTTTCATGATGAGCTGGGGGGGGGGGGGGGAGGGGTTCGAACCGGTAGTGACCCCCCCCGGTTTTCCGGAGGGGGGGGGGGGAGGGGTTCGAACCGGTAGTGACCCCCCCCGGTTTTCCGCCAGCAGCGGTAGAACACGCTCTTTCATAGATTTACACATGTGTATCGCTTACTTCGTTCCGTGGGGCAGTTGTTGACGACGCCACCGCCAAATCATACAATGCGGAAATATGTGTTCGCTGGCGAGCGATTGTTATGCTGGCCCCTTGCCAAATCTCGACAGCTCACCGAAGGAACTCAGAGGATCACCAACGGCGCCGTCGCCGAAATAAAGATCAACAGGTCAATATTTCGCATCCGTGGCACTTTGGGGCGGCATCGTCGCCAAAAACTGCTTGCGGCAACAAAGAACTTGACAGTGGGTCTTGCAGCAGCGTGCTCCGGCCCAAGCTCCTTTGGCGATCACAAGCCCGTGGAGGACAAGGCCGGAGCTGTGCCGAGGCGCACAACCTGAAAGACCCCGAGCCTTCCGGCCGTGGAACACCCCAGTCACGCGGGTGCCCACACTGCTCGGGGCCACTGCGAGATGCAGGGGCATAACGCAGGGAGCGTGCGTGGAAAAGTCCGAGCGAGAGTTCGAGCTTCTCGAGGCGAAATATAATGAGAGAACAGCACACACTCAAACCTTCACGGAGGACGAGTGGGGAAGGGCAAGGAAATGAAGGCGCTACAAATATGGACGCAGGTTGTCGGACCCCGACTGGGGTTCCCGTTCGAGCGGGAACCCCATCCGAGAAATCAGGGGCTCGCATAGGTATAGGTGTTTGTTGCCAACTGATGAAAGCAGGGCAAAGCAGAACGTGCAAGAGCCGACGTGGAGCACAAACGGAAGTGAAGCGCGTCCTGCGTCCTCCCGAACAACGCCCCTGGGGCACCTCCATCGGTGCTGAGCTTGACCTGCGCAATAGAATAATGAGGACAGCATCAACTAACGCAAGTCGTGTGGCTCGTTGCAGAAACCATGAATCCAGAAGGGCTGCCATGTGTTGGAAAGCGGATGTTTACTTCCGCCGGCTTCACCCAGCAGGGCCGCCCCCATTGCACATTTGCCGACCACCGCCGAGGAAGAGATGGCAACTTCTGGAACAGAGGCCATTTCTAGAACGACACATCTCATTAGAGACCAGAAAACGTATAAACCGAAACTGTTAGAGGTTCTCGTGGATTTTTTGGATCGGCGTTGGACCCCGCTGGCGGCGGCGCCTCCACAGCCGCCCCTGGCGCGCCCCGCGCGCTTGGGAAAAAGGTCCAGCGCCGATCCAGGAAATCCGCGCGAACCTGCGCGAAAATGTATGCTTATATCGTTCTCCGTCGACGTATACGCTTACTCTCGCGCGCACCTTTGGGTTGCTTCTTCGGGGGACCTTGTCTGTCCCGTCGCGCCGTTATCCGCGTCGACTTCGCGTCGAATCCATTTCGAACGCGTGAGGTCCACATTAAATCCACGTCAAATCTGCGTCACATCATTGCCGATTCCGCGCCGAATCCGCGCCGACAACGCGTCGGACACCAGAAGAAAAACAGCAGCTTCCAGGAAAGAATCGCCGACGGGTCACAACCCTCCCAGACGAGCAATGTCACACACACACACACACCTCACCAGCCATAAAAGGGCTGCCTTTTGCCCAGACCCCCCTGAACCTTCCAAGACAACTCAAATCACCCCCCCACCCACACATGTGCCCCTCCACTTTGTTATGGAATCCGCTGGCCATTCCAAAAGGTGCCAAAAGCCTCCGACCCAACCCGCCAGCCACTTAGAAAGCAGTGGGAAAGCAACTTTGCGCGGGCTCTTCCACCCAAGCCAACTCAGAGAGGGCCTTCATGACAGCCAAGATAGCCCCAGGTGGCCTCCAAGACGCTTCCACGACGGCTAAGATGGTCCCCAGATTGCCGCAGACGGCCTCAAGACAGCCCAGTAGGCACCCGATAGGGCCAAGGAAGGCTCCAGGAGCTCTCCAGGTGAGCGCCCAAAGAGACCAAAGTCACTGACTTCTCGATGGCTTTGAATAGGGTTCAAATTGTCGCCTCTTCGGATTTCCGACAGCACAAGACGGCCCCAGCAATTTCGAAGATGGCATCAAGATGGCTCATGAACCCCCCAAAAGACCCTCAAAACGGGCCAAGATGGCATCAAGACGACCCGAGATGCCCACAAGAGGGCCCCAACCAAGACGGCCTGACGATGCCCCTAAGACGGCATCCGAAGGAGTCCGACGTCTCAAAAGGCCATCGGGGGCCCCCAACAGTCTCCCAGGAGCTTCCCGGATGATCCAAGAGGATCACAGGAGGCCTTCGAGAGGCTTCCTCCTCCTCCTCCTCCTCCTCCTCCTCCTCCTCCTCTTCCGCCTCATCCTCCTCCTCCGCCTCCTCCCCCCTTGTCCCGCATATCCGCCTCCCCTCCGTCTTCTCCCCCGAGTTCTCCCCTCAGGGTTTCGACAACGGCAGCGGGAACAAATAGGTCAACAGCTTGGCCAGACTTTGGCCGAACGGTTGGCCACACAGGTGTTTCCAAAAGGCAGGGGAGGAGTCTTCGATCCGCCTCCCCCGTAGCCTGCCGGAGGAATGCCTGGCGTGCTGGATGTATGAATGCTTCTTGACACTTCCAAAAGATTCCCAATGGGCTTCGGCCAGTCCCGCTGGCCATGCGGAAGAACCGCAAAATCACGGAAACTGGAACCAGGATGGCCAAGATGGCCCAAAATGGCCTCCAAGACGGCCCAAGACGGTCCAAGATAGCCTCCACGACGGCCCAGGAGGGTCCAAGAGGCCTTCAAGTTCGCTCAAGATGCCTCCAAGACAGCACATGATATTTTTCGAGAGCAGGCTCCAACGCGCGTCTCCCCATCGTGTGTGAAACATTATGTGATAGCTTGGGAAGCTCAGCTCACGCGGAGCCGGCATCTGCCCAGCCTGGCAGCCTTCGCCCCCGATCGGACGGCCCGAGAGGCCCGCGGAGGCTCGAAGACGCGTGCGAGAGGGCTCAAAAAGATGCGCTGCGCCGCCGAGGCCAAAAGAATCTGCTGCACCAGGACAATCGCCAGAAGGTTCGCTCGCGCAGCCTTCTCGAGCGGTGGTCCTGCGGTCCCTGCTGAGAGCGAGCATCTCGCTACAAAGAAGGGGCCGAGCCCTCTGCACCGACGTTTCTTCCGGCCCCGCACTGAAACTCGCACGGGGCAGCGGATCCTGGTGCATACAGGATCCTGGCGTATACGTGTTTCTTTGTTTCCCCGGGAAAACGGGGAAAAAGTATACACCACAACATCCCGACGTCGTCCCCGACCCTGAAAAAGTCCAGGGATTGAAGAACAGCCCGCCACTGGTAATGTATATGCTCCAGCTTCCGAATAACATCAGATCAGTATCAGTCTGCCCTTTGCGCCCAAGACATCTGATTCAGCCTGGAGTCAAACTTGTGTATGTTGCCTGGCTTCCTTGAGCGGAAATTCAGGCAGTGATAAATTCAATATCGACCGTATACTGCTCATGATAAGCTACAGAGGAGGAGATAGGAAGGAGCACTATAAAGAGAACAGGAGGACTGAGCAACGAACACAGTGAATCCTTGTGATGAGAAATTCTGCGACCGCATTCACGGGGTTCACGACCCACCCGCACGCGAGCCGTAAAAAAAGAGGCCCGCGGCATAAGCTTGCAGTTCTCTCGCGTGCACCTCATTCCCAACCCTCTCCTTGGCCACCTCCCCTCCGCCGAGGCCAAAGAGAAGAGAGGGTGCGAGAGCGACGCGGAAAGCGAACACAGGGCGGCCACTGCCGGCAGCCGAGCAAGAGGCGCACGGGGCGTCAGGTGCTGCAGGAGATTTTGCCATAGCAGGTCTGTCCATCGGGGCACTCGGAGTCCAGGCCGCCGGGACACGACTGGGCGCACGCACTGGCCCCAGACCAATCGGGGCCGCAGAAGTTTCCGCACTTGATGCCGCCCCAGCACTTTTCCCCCGAGCCCATGTCACACTCACTGTCCAGGCCTCCTGGGCACTCCGTGCCGCACTTTGCGGAGGCATCGGCGTAGTCTTTGCCGCAATGATTCATTGTGGTGGGGCACGATTTAATGCTACCCCAACACTTCTGGCCCTGGTCACACTCTCCGTCCAGTCCACCTGGGCAGGACTTGCTGCACTTGGAGCTCGCCTCGTCCCATGTCGCGCCGCACATCTTGCTGGCATCTGGCGCTGGGCTGGGACTCTGCTGCCACTGGATATATCCTCCCGTCGTGATCCCATGTTCGCTGCTGAAGTAGGTGCTCACCTCGTCGTACTGGGATGCGGTAACGATGCTGGGTGCAAAGGCACCTGATGATCCCTGCCACAACTCCCAAGTGCAGGCCGAGCACGACGCGGTTGTATCGAAATCAGGTGTGTCCTCCTTACCTGTCGTGTACAGCTGCGGCGAGAGCACAGCCATGCTCGGGTCGGCAACCCAACACTTGACAAGCGTGGCAGCGTCAGCACCACCAGTTACTTCAACGGGGCCGCTGTGGGATGTGGTGACCCCGACCTGGAGACCTTTCGACGTCAACGCCTACGACGCACTCGTGAAGCCAGAGACCAAGGCGTCATTGGTACCAACCGCGACTTCGACATCGAAAATGACTCCAGCGTAACCCGCTGCGATGATAGTGTCGCCACTGCTCGCTGCTCTCGACAACACGTCTGGCGTTATGATCCCATAGGGATCGCCATTGCCCCCGATCGAAAGCCACTTCGCCGGTTGCAGCGTGCCGACCTCCTTCGTGCATTTTGAGATAGCCGTGTCCACATCCTCGTAGCCATTGAAACAGATGCCCATGTTCGTATCTTCTGGCCCGACGAACGCCGCGCTCCACGACCACGCCCGATAGCCCGCCACACCGCCGTTGGCAGAGCCGTTGGCAGAACTGCTGGCAGTGCTGTTGCCAGTGTCAGCGTGTGTGGCATTGGAACCACCCGTGGTGTTGTCGTCGGGCAGTGCGCCCGTGCAATAGACCCTGGTGGGGTTACTGAGGCATGTGCAACCGTCGCGGCACACGAGATCCGGAGGCCCCTCGTGGACAACCCGGCCGTGCGGGCGCCACGGGGACAGCAGCAGCACGAGCGCAACGACGGCGGCCAAGACCGCGGCCGTCAGGACCCCGCCGAGGATCTTCCACCGCGCGGTCGAAGCAGCCCCCCCCGCATCTTCGGCTCCTGTGAGCGGCTCCTTCTGCTGTGCAGTCTCGGTATCAGCCATCAGCGGCGAAAGCCGAAGCACTTGCTGCTACGCCTTGGCCAGAAACGTGGGCCAGAGCTTGAGACGAAATGGCTACGGACCTCCAAGGCAGCAGACGATGGCCCCAAGAGGGCCCAAGACGGCCTCAAGACATCCCAAGCAGCATCTGAGAGGCCCTCCAGGAGGGCCCGAAGAGGCCAAAACCACTGCCTGTCCTTGAGTTGGTCAGTCGATACTCGGGGGCGCGCAAACATGGATTAGCGATCCATGGATTTGGCGCGCGGTCGCCAAATCCATGGATCGGGGGAGGTGCCCTCCCCAAAATGCGGCCGGTGCTGCCTCGCTCGGCGGCGGAAATCCGCGATTTCCCATGGAAACGGGATCCATGTTTGCGATCGTCTGAGTTACTGCGTTCTCGCCCTGTCAGGCTTCCACCAGCCGAGGACGGCCGCAGGGGCCTTGAAGGTATCCCCCAGTCAGCCCACGAAGCCCCCCAAGAGAGACCCAAAACGGGCCAAGATTCCCCCTGGACTGCCCAAAGAGTCCTCCTCCTCCTCCTCCTCCTCCTCCTCCTGCTCCTCCTGCTCCTCCTCCTCCTCCTCCTCCTCCTCCTCCTCCTCCTCCTCCTCCTCCTCCTCCTCCTCCTCCTCCTCCCCCTGAGACGGCCCACGAGGCCGCCAAGACTGCCCGCAGCGCCCCCCGAGAAGGCCCCGAGAGGGCCCAGACCGCCCTCCGACCTGGCCTCCGAAGGCGCAGACGGCCCAAGGCCCCAAAAGACGGTCTAAGATAGCCTCCAAGAGTCGGCCGAAATGGCCCCCGTACGGCCTCCAAGACGGTCTGAGATGCCCTCCGAGTCGGTCGCGATAGCCCAAGATGGCCCCCAGACGGCCCTGGATGGCTCCCAGACGCCCCAGATGGCCCCAAGAGGAGGTCATCAAGAGGCCCCAAAGAGCCCCATCATAGGTTCCCAAGAAACACATTCGATACCTCATGTTCATTTTTGCTTGTATCAGTCGCATGATTCGTATTAGTCTTATTCTTACTTCATATTATTATGATTCGGCTTATTACTAGTACTGATAATCGTATTACTAGCATACTTAATAGTATTACTAATATTATTAGTGTTGATTTAAGTATTATTCATATTATTACGCATGAGTGTTACTATGATTCTTAGTAGTATAAATACAATTATTACTCTTACTCGTACTAATATTATCACTATTTGGCATTATTACTGTTATTCGTATTCTCCTTCTTCGTATTACAAATATTACTGATCTCATCTCTCCTCCTCCAACTATTACTCATATTCCCCATCCCACTCGTCATCATCATCATCATCATCATCATCATCATCATCATCATCACCACCATCATCATCATCGTCGTCATCATCATCATCATCACAACCACCACCACCACCACCCTCATCATCATCAGCATCAGCAGCATCTGCATCAGAATCATCATCATCATCAGCATCAGCATCATCATCATCAGCAGCAGCATCCTCATCATCACCACCACCACCATCATCATCATCATCATCACCATCATCATCACCATCATCATCAGCATCAGCATCATCATCATCAGCATCATCATCAGCACCATCATCATCATCAGCAGCAGCATCATCATCCTCAGCATCAGCATTATCAGCATCATCAGCATCATCGTCATCATCATCATCGCCATCATCATCATCATCATCATCAGCATCGTCATCGTCATCGTCAACACTATCAGCACCATCAACATCATCATCAGCATCATCATGTTCACCATCATCATCATCATCATCATCATCATCCTCATCGTCATCATCATCATCATCCTCAACATCATCATCAGCATCATCATCAGCCTCATCATAATCGTCATCGTTATCATCATCATCATCATCATCAGTATCGGCATCAGCATCATCATCATGATTATCAGCATCATCATCGTTAACATCATCAGCATCTTCACCACCAGCATCATCGTCATCATCATCGTCGTCGTCATCATCATGGACATCCTCAGCAACACCACCACCATCATCATCATCAGCATCACCACCAGCAGCATCAGCATGATCAGTAGAGTCATCATCAGCACCACCACCACCATCATCGTCGTCATCATCAGCATCATCCTCATCATCCTCATCATCCTCATCATCCTCATCCCCATCGTCTTCCCATAATGGCCCCTATCACTCCTCATGTCACTCCTCCAATCATCGTCATCATCATCAGCAGCAGCATCATTATCATCAACAGCAACAACATCATCAGCACAGCCATCATCAGCACCGTCAGCAGCAGCAGGAGCCGCATAATCGTATTCGCCATCACCATACGAATCACGATCACCATCACCATCGCCTTCATCAAGATCATCATCCTCATCATCGGCATCATCATCATCATTAGCAGCATCACAATCATCATCATCATCATCAGCAGCAGCATCATCATCAGTAGCAGCATCATCAACATCAACATCGTCATTAGCATCATCAGCATCATCAGTATCATCATCATTGTCATCGTCTCCGTCATCGTCGTCGTCAGTGTCGTCGCCATCAGCACCACGATCTATATCAGCACCATGATCAATCATCATCAGCATAAGTATCATCCTCATCATCACCATCATCGTCCGCATTATCCGTATCATCCGCCCGACCGCCACTCATCGTCGTCATCAGCACCATCAGCATTGTCATCGTCATCGCCATCACTGCCAGCATCAGCATCGTCGTCGGCACCATAACAGCCATCAATGTCAGCATCATCATCATCACCATCATCATCATCAGCATCATCAACAGCAGCATCGATATCATCATCTCAAACATCAACATCACCAGCAGCATCATCATCACCAATATTCATCACCATAATCATCACCATAATCATCATCATCAACATAATCAATCAACCAATGAATCAGTCAATCAAGAATCATCATCATCATCATCATCATCATCATCATCATCATCATCATCATCATCATCATCATCACCATCACCATTACCACCACCACTTCCACCATCATCATCACCATCAGCATCATCATCATCAGCATCATCATCCTCATCACCATCCGCATCCTCATCTTCATGCTCGGCGGCAGTGACTCGCCGTAGACATCTTCGGTAATTACGCTCTCGGATGGTTTGGTGCTCAACGCGTCTGGATGCTTTGAGGCACCTTTGGGCCTCCCTTAGGCGCCTTCGTCGCCACGGCTTGATCCGCCCCGATACTCCGCCCCTGGAGCGCACCCCAGGAAGGGGCACCCTGAAGGCCCCCAGGGAGGCCTCTGGTGGCCCCCAGGGGGCCAAGAGCGCTCAAATCCGATATAATCCACTACGCATGCGGAACCAAGGAACCATCCACCGATGCCCATGGAGCTCAGCTGAACAATGGACCAGTGCTGAGATCAAGTCCAGACCCAAGACGGCGTCAGGACGGCCCAAGACGGCCCAGCAGGCCAAGCCAAAGCCCTCGAACATCGAACCTCGGCCGCCGTCCTCACTGCCAACGGGCAGGGGACTGGCTCAGGAGGGGGGGGAGTCCTTGGCCTGGAAGTGACGACGCACCGCCGACAGGTCAGATATGGGCCCCCGACGGGGAAGCCGCACGTTCTTGAGCAGGCGGGGGCACCTAGGCACCCATCGACGAGGAATGGACGATTCGGGGTCGACGCATCCGTCCTGAACCTATCGACCCCTATGTCGCCAAGATCGTTTCCGGGCTTCGCGACAGGTCCGTGGGCCGACCCGCCGGGCTTCGCGACAGGTCCGTCGAGCTTCGCGACAGGTCCCTGGCCGACCCGGGCGTCTGCAGACCAGGGCAACTGCGCCTCCGAAGCGGCGCTCGGCCTTCTGCTACAGCCTCGGGAGGCGTTCCAGCAGCTATACGCCTCGCCGAAAGCACCTCCAGGGGGCCCAGAGCGATCTGCACGGCGGCTGCAGACCGAATTCTGACGACGCGAGCGCCCGGCAACCTCAGGGGCAACAAAATGGGGGGGCTGCCATCGGGGGTCCTCCTCCTCCTCCTCCTCCTCCTCCTCCTCCTCCTCCTCCTCCTCCTCCTCCTCCTCCTCCTCCTCCGCCTCCTCCTCCTCCCCCACCCCGCAGGGGGTCAGATCAGCGTTTTGTCGTCGTTCAGTTCCAACCCCAGTGGCGCGAGCACCTCGCGGAGGCCCGTCAGCGCGAGGGCGCCGAAACCCGTCCGCACCACCAAGTAGGAGTCGTCAAAGTAGGAGTACAGGCTGGTGGCTGGGCCCAGCTGCTGCAGCCTGTACAAGAGCTGCTCGAAGGCGCACCGCTGCCCCACGGCGAATGCCGCCGGGGACAGGGGGTTTCCCCGATCGAACCCGCGCTGGCTCCAGACCGCTTCGAAGCGCCCGTCGGCAGTGCGCCGATGGTGCTCTGCGGGGGCCGGGTACCAAGTCCTCGGGGCCGCCGCCACCTCGGGGCCAGCTTCGTCCAAGGCCTCGAAGGCGGGGCCGCGGCGCATCCGTTGGACCAGGGCCTTGACGCCCACCTCGATGAACGTCGCGTTCGGCCGGGCCTCCGCGAGAGCCTACAAGCTCTCAACCAGCACGTTCGCGCCGACCTTGCGCCCGACGCCGCGCTGGCGCTTCCAGGCAGCTTAGTCAGGTGGGCCTTCCGAACCCGCGCCAGCGCGCGCAGCCCCAGGCTGCGGAGCGTGGAAGGTCTCACCTCGCCGGCGCCCTTCGCGAGCGCCACGACCTCCCCCGCGCGCAGCGCCTCGAGGGCCTCCCGCGGCAGCTCCCCGAAGGCGACCCTCACGGCAACCTGGGCGAGCAGCCGCGCCGTTTCGCCGTCGCTCGCCCCCAGGCGCTCCAGCCGCGCCCCCAACAGGCCCGGCTTCGCCAGCCGGGGAGGGCGCCGAAGTAGTTTGCGCACCTCCTCCTACGCCTCTTCTCTGAGCTCGGGGCTGGGGGGCGCGGAGGGCGGGGCAGGTCGCGGCGCCGCGCCAGCGCCGTCTCCG